AAAAAAAAAGAAAAGAAAAAACATAAAAAAAAAAAACAAAAATTTCAATGTCATGAAAGACAAAGTCTGAGGGCAAAAAAAGGATTAAGGGAGCAAAAGGACAAAATAACTAAATTGACTGAATCACTGATGTGGGGAAAATACCAGGAAGTACATTATTGGGAAATGGATGACATTTAAATATGAGCTAAGATGAGATCACAGTATCTTATCAAATTCAAATTTTTTGATTTTGATTATTATATGGGGATATATAAGAGAATAATATCCTCATTTTTTTTTTTTTTTTTGAGATGAAGTCTCACTCTGATGGCCAGACTGGATGGAGTGCAGTGGCACAAATTCGGCTCACTGCAACCTCCACCTCCTGGGTTAAAGCAGTTCTCCTGTCTCAGCCTCCCAAAGTGCTGGGATTACAGGTATGAGCCACCATGCCCCGCCTTGTGAGGTTCCTTTTCATTGGTGTGTTAGATCTACATTAACTGAAATAGAATACCGCTTATTTTAGTTAATTATTGGGAAGAACAAATTAGACAATGTATGTATAACCTTTAGAGCATTGACTTTATGCAAGAGATATTATCATTGTATGTTGACATAATAAAATAATTAGCAGACTTTAAATGTGTGACAGATTTAAATTTCAAAAATTTACATGCTACACAAGTTTAGTCATTCCTCACTTGATATCAATAGGCTCTTGGAAACTGATTTTAAGTGAAACCGCCTACAGCAGTTTCCTGAATATCACTCAATATTGATACAACGCTGATTAAAAATATTGGTTTAATTATACGTTGCTTTGCTTACAGTTACAGAAAAACAGGCCTAAATACCACTCCAGATCTAGACCCAAACAAGGAAAAAGATGGATATGTTTGATTGCATTAAAAGGAAAACCTTTTGCAGGAGATAATGTAGTGAAAGGAAAAAGACAACAAACTGGGAAAAGAATTTAGAAATTATATCACAGACTAAGAGGTAATAGTTCTATCAGAGAGAAAATAGAGAAATTTAGAAATCTTCTACAAAAACAGGTTGTTGTTAACAACAACAAGAACAAAGCCAAATCGTTCTTAATCATATGAAAGAAATATTCTCATTCGTAAGAGAAATTCAAGTGAAAATTACACTGAGGCTGGGCGCAGTGGCGCACACCTATAATCCCTGCACTTTGGGAGGCGGAGGCAGGCGGATCGCCTGAGGTAGAGAGTTTGAGATCAACCTGACCAACATGGAGAAACCGTGACTCTACTAAAAATACAAAATTAGCCAGGCATGGTGGCTCATGGCTGTAATTCCAGCTACTCGGGAGGCTGAGGCAGGAGAATCACTTGAACTCAAGAGGTGGAGGTTGCGGTGAGCTGAGATCATGCTGTTGCACTCCAGCCTGGGCAACAAGAGGGAAACTCCATCTCAAAAAAACACAAAAATTACAAACTGATGTCATTTCTCTTAATTGGCAAAATCTCACATTTGCCAACACAATCATTGGTAAGACTATAGAAAAACAGATATTCTCTTACACTGAATAGAGGAAATGCAAAATGATATGACCCTCCTGTGGAAGACTGTTCCTTTAAATAAAAATCCCTTTCCTTCAGACTCTAGAAGTGAGCTAAGTCAGTTGGGTCAGCAATATTTTTCCTTTTAGAATGAAATAATATTCTAAAAAGAGAATGATGTAAACCGACCTTAACTCACTATGAAACACTCTTTAAAGAAATGTTCGGCCCGGCGCAGTGGCTCACGCCTATAATCCCAGCACTTTGGGAGGCCGAGGCGGGTGGATCACGAGGTCAAGAGATCGAGACCATCCTCGTTAACATGGTGAAACCCCGTCTCTACTAAAAATAAAAATAAAAAAATAAAAAAAAGAAAAAGAAATGTTCATTCTTTTTAACTCCACAATGCCCAAATCCTGTTAATCCCATATAATATACACAGTTGGTAGCTAGTTAACCATTATATCATTATGTAATAGAGATCTCAATGGCAAAGCAGCATAAAACAAATGTAATTACTTTTCATTAAGGGTGCATCTTCGGTCGGTAGGGTGCCCATTGTACGACTTTAGATTCTCAGTGAGCTCTGTGTATAGTCGGTCGGCCATTGGAAGAGGGATTCCATCCCATACCATGATGAGCACCACCATCACAGCGGTTGGACAGTGGTGGCCTGTACGCTGTCGGACCAAACAAAGAACTTTTTCTTCATCACTGCTTCTTCTCAAAACCTGAAAAAAAAAGAATGCATTCATCTATGGAAAACAAGCATGCCAAATTTGAATGCAATGGATATTCCTTTTAATATTCTGCATGATTATAGTTTAGTTTATTTACTTAGTAAAATTTGATGAGCACATGGGTCTAACTATGTTACCCAGGCTGGTCTCAAACTCCTAGCTTCAAGCAATCATCCCCGCTTGGCCTCCCAAAGATCTGGGATTACAGACATGTGCCTCCATGCCTGGCCATATTTTAGATTTTTTAAAGTTACTACTTCTCAAGGGATAAAAGCCTACAGGACCTTCCAGTGCCTCAGTAGTTCCCTCCATGAGACTCATCACAAGAGTACCTGATCCTATATGGCTAACAAACAACAGGAAGAACAAAAATCTGTGACACGTGGTTATCATTTGTAGAAGTAGTACAAGGCAGTCTGTGTTTTATTTCACTGCTGTTATAGTTTGCACAACAGACAAGAGAGGGCCTGGTGGAAAACCTAACTGCTCTCAAATCCCACAAATGTCACAATGGAACAAATGTAGATGATGGAAACAAGCATCTGATGTAGGTAGATGGAAATATCGAAGAACTCTCAACATTAAAAATAAACTTGACAACTGAATTTTGGCCATCTGAGGAACGTTACGGAGTTTCCTTTGGGTGATTCATTTTACTTATCAAGAGCTAATATACATAAAGCAATGCCTCTGTGATTTCTGTGAGTTCTACATGCATTATACACATTTTATTCATAAGACTAATGTGATCTAGTTGACTTGGTGAATGTAAAATAGAAAAATTAATTTTAAATATTTATTTATTATCTTATACTGCATCAAATTCTTGGGATGCTAAAAAGGCTTCAGCACTATTCAAAATTTGCTGAGTGATCCAAGTGTTTACTACAAAAAAAAAATTTTTTATACAAATGTCACCACTGAAAACCATCCAACGATTTAAAACTGTCTCCCTTGTAGCACAAATTTAAAAAGTGCAGAGATTGACTACATTAATCACTACACTACCAGGACATGATGAAAATGCCCATCCATGTGACCAGAAAGGAGCAACCAATAGCATAATTTTTTGTTCCTGTAATATCACAAAACTTGAGATGAAACTTCTTAAGAAGTTAGTTACCCATATCACTTTCTTCTGTCACTCCAGATGGTTAACAATCATTGCTACCAAGGCATCCCTTGAGTAGAGGTGGCTTTAGGACCTTCCCCCTAAACACAATTATTTATATTAAAATTTTTTCTATAATTTACATGTCCTCTTACAGCCAAATAATAACACACTGCTTGCAAATAACCACAAATGAAAACTTATATATAATATCAAAATTATATCAGTTAATATTCAAGTTGTCAAAATTAATAACAAATTTAAGTTTTTGTATTGGAAATACTAAAATACTTTTTACTGATGATATTTGTGCTTTTTCTGGATATTCCAAATTTCCGTCAGTGTATCATAGAAAATTAAGCACAATGGTTAGGAGTATTTAAATTCAAATCTGAGTTCAATAAACTGCTTAAATATTAAATGTATTGGCCAGGTGTAGTGGCTTATGCCTGTAATCCCAGTACTTTGTGAGGTCGGTGGATCACATGAGGTCAGGAGTCCAAGAACAGCCTGGCCAACATGGCAAAACCCCGTCTCTACTAAAAATACAAAAATTACCCGGATGTGGTGGTGTGTGCCTGTAATCCCAGTTACTCAGGAGGCTGAGGCAGGAGAATTGCCTGAATCTGGGTGGTGGAGGTTGCAGTGAACTGTGATCACACCATTGCACTCCAGCCTGGGCAACAGAGCGAGACTCTGTCTCAAAAAAAAAAAAAAGAAAAAAAAATTAAATCTGTTAAGACCCCTGGAAACTAAAAATATTATTAAAATAAAGGCCTAACTAAATGCAGAGGAATATAAATTCATGGAATAGACATTATTATGTCAACTTTCCTAAAATTGATCTCTAGATTCAATGCAATCCCAATCAAAACCCTATCAGAGGTTCGTGTGTGTGTGTGTGTGTGTGTGTGTGTGTGCGTGTAAATTGACCAACTATACCAAAGTTTATGGAAAAAAAAGAATCTTGACCCCTACCTCACACTGATCAACTTGAATTATATTACATATCAAAACACAAAAAATAAAGCAATGAAGAATTTTAGAAGAAAACATCCTCCTGACATTGGAGTGGGCAAAGCATTTTAAAATGGCTTACCAAATCAGCTAACTGAAAAGAAAAAAAAGGCTGTGTGCCTCAGGTCACACCTGTAATGCCAGGATTTTGGAAGGTGGAGGTGAGAGGATTGCTTGAGGCCAGGAGTTTGAGACCAGCCTGGGCAGCATACTGAGACCCAGTCTCCACAAAAAAAAGAAAATAAACCCGGCATAGTGGCATATGCCTGTAGTCCCAGTTACTTGGAAGGCTGAAGCAGGAGTATCACTTGAGATGGAGAATTCAAGGCTATCATCAGGCACGGCAGCCTGGGCAACACAGTGAGATCCTATCACTAAAAAATAAATAAATAAATAAATAAATAAAAATAGCAGGCTGGGTGCAGTAGCTCATTTGTGTAATCCCAGCATTTTGGGAGGTGGTTGGACTATTTGAGGTCAGGAGTTTGAGATCAGCCTGGGCAATATGGTTAGACCTCATCTCTTCAAAATATACAAAAAAATGAGCTAGGTGTGGACACCTGCCTGCAGTCCAACCTACTTGAGAGGGTGAGGCGGGAGGGTCCCTTGAACCTGGGAAGCAGAGGTTGAGTGAGCCCCCAGACTGTGCCACTGCACTCCAGACTG